ATGGCTTAATTCTGGATTTGAAGCTCGCTATGAAGTTCGATGTTAAGGAGATTGTGGCAGTCGGGGATTCCCGAATCGTCGTTCAACAAGCTCAGGGTCTGATTAATTGCAATCAGCCTAATTTACAACGACGCTTGGCTGAATATGAGGATCTCGGGAAGAATTTTACGTCTGTGAAGTTGATTCATGTTAAACGTGAATTTAACCAAGCGGCCGACTACTTGACTTCTAAGACTCTCGTGCTTGGAGAATCCTGGGAGCTCGATGACCCTGACGAGATAGTGCATCTACGACTCGTATCCGGAATCCCCGAAAAGATCATGAAGCCTTCGGAAATCCCAAGTACCCCTGCGGCTGATGTGGTTCGTTCGGACCAAGTCGAACTTGGAATGGGTAATCCCGATGCTGGAATACCTGAGTCTTTAGCTGCCGCTGCTGAGGCATTGATGGTGATGACGAGATCCCGTGCGGATGCGGACACAGGTTCCCGGACTCCTGTAGACCAGTCTGAATACCAGGATGAACGTTGGAGGAGAATTAAGGTTCATCAAGCTGAAGACCTGTGGATCCAGCAAATGAAAAAGGTCCTAAAAGGAGACGTGTCAGATCTTCCACGGAACCAGGTGAAGAAGATTGCAAAGGTATCTGATCAGTTTGTGTTGGATTTGCGAGAAGTCCTTTACAGGCTGAACACACCCACTCCTGAGAGGCCCCGCAACAAACAGTCAGAACTCAGACTGGTGGTCCCAGAGGCTTTACGTGCTGACATGTTACACTATTCGCATGAAGACTTTCAAGGCGGTCACCAAGGAATCAATAGGACATTCGAGCGTTTGCGGTCAGAGTTCTACTGGATCGGGAAGTACGCCGACATCCAGACGTTTGTGAGAGAGTGCGTGGATTGTGGGTCAGCCAAGGGGCGACCACCGGTCCTTGGCCCGTCACCTGGCAATATCAAACCAAGGTACCCGTTTGAGGTGGTCTCTATGGATTTCGTCACTGAGCTACCTGAGTCCGATCGTGGAAATACATACTTGTTGCTGTTCCAAGATCAATTCTCAGGATACGTCATGTGCAAACCCATGCGGAATACCGGAGCCCAAGCTGTCGCGGAAGCGTACGAGGAGTGCGGATTCCGAAGATTTGGGGAAAGTTCTATGTTCAGACATGACCAGGATCCCCGCTTCATGAGCAAGGTGTTCACTAGATTCAGAGACCTTCTGAAAAGTAAGCAACGTGCAACGCTAGGATACCGGCCTCAGGCCAATGGACAACAGGAACGCTCGGTCCAAACCGTAATGCGAAGTGTCCGAGCGTATGTCGCTGAAGTTGACCAGAGCGACTGGGATGAACATGCAGAACGCCTCATGTTCGCCTTGAACACCTCGTTCGACGCTGCAAGATTGGACACTCCATTTTATCTGATCCACGGCTGGGACGCCCAAGGAACCATATCCGCAATGCTGGGCCGAAGCCATCCACAGTCCAAGAATGAACGGCCTTGGAATAGCGTCGGAAATGCAACGGGATTATAGCCATGCCCTTGCATGCGCCGAAGACTTGCAAAAGAAAGCGAAGCGTGCGAGATCTGCTGCACAGACCCGAAAGTGGAGAGAACTTTCGGAACGTGTAAAGGCAGGTTTCGAGGCCGGTGATTCTGTATGGTTGTATACTCCCAAAGTCTGCACAGGATTGAGCCGTTAGCAAGCTCACCTGTGGCACGGACCTTTCCGAACTAACGAAATACATGACGACTTCAGAGTCAAGCTCAAAACCCCAGGTACGGGCTACCGTGTGAACCCGTAGGTACACATTAATCGCCTCAAACCGAGAGCTCTGTTCCCTAAGCGACCGACCTCAGAGATACAAGTCTCATGCGGTAAAGTGCGATCGAAATCTCGCGAGAGGAGCAACCTCGGCTGCCAGATCGCGAGAAAGAGACGGACCAAGCGACAGCAATCCCACTCTGGGCCAAGACATCAAGACGATTTCCCAAGATCCGGCGTGCGACAAGACCAGTGAGTGATGGAGACTACGGATGGCCCAAGATGGACTGGAGATGACACAAGATCGATCTGACGGGATGGTGGGTGGCGATCCACCCTCATTATATCGCGTGAGGGTCGGATCAAGGCAATTCGCGGAATGAAGCCATCGTCAAGACTCGATCCCGAATGGTGGCGGACTGGCGGACCAAGATCGGGGGAAACCGCCGTGCCTGGAGTCCCAACAGCCGTCGATCAAGACCTGGTCGCCGGGATAAAGATCACCCCTCGACGACCCCAAGCTGCGTTTCAAGGGCCCAAGTCGGCACCCCCAATGGCGAACACAGGGCGCCGTCACAGATCGAGGTAGACC